TCTGGAAGCGGTTTCATGACGAGATGGGTACTCGTCTCCATTTCAACACCGCTTTCCACCCCCAGACCGACAGACAGAACAAGAGGACGATTTAGACTCTCGAGGACATGCTTCGTGCATGCGTTTTGGATTTCGGTGGCAGTTAGGATACGTATCTTCCGTTAGCGGAATTCTCGTATAACAACAGTTACCACGCCAATATAGACCGACCTCCCTTCGAGATGCTTTACGGGAGGAAGTGTAGGACCCCAATCTGTTGGGGTGAGGTCGGTCAGAGGGTCATGGGGAGTACGGAGGTAGTACTCAAGACCACCGAGAGGATCCAGCAGGTGCGGAGCAGGATCCAGACTGCTCAGAGTCGGCCAAAGAGCTACGCCGACAAGCGGCGTTCAGATTTGGAGTTTCGGGAGGGTGACATGGTTCTCCTGAAGGTGTCACCCTGGAAGGGAGTCATACGGTTCCGGAAACGGGGCAAGCTGGGCCCCAGGTATATCGGCCCCTTCTGAGTCATAGCGTGGGTCGGCAAGGTAACGTACACACTGGATCTTCCTGCCGAGCTCAGCCAGATCCAAAACACTTTCCATGTTTCCCAACTACGGAAGTGCTCAGTGAATGATTCAGTAGTGGTACCCCTAGAGGATATTCAGGTTGATGACAGCCTGAATTACAAAGAGAGACCAGTGGCGATTCTGGATCGCAAAATGAAGGAGCTGAGGAACAAGAGGGTCGAGTTAGTGAAGGTGCAGTGGCAGCACCGTAAGGGTTCAGAGTGGACATGGGAGCCTGAGGAAGAGATGAGGGAGCACTACCCAGAGTTGTTTTCAGATGCAGCAGACTTCGAGCACGTCTGGACCACCTCTTTGGGCCTTCAGCATATCCGGACCGCTCGTTGGGCCTTCGGCCTGACTAGTATGCCCTAACCGGGCCTGCAGTATATCCGGTCCATCCTGGGTATGCTGGCCTACAGTACAAAGCAGGACCTGCCTCAACCGAACCCGCAATCCAACAATCATGTGCACATAAATATCATATGCTAGCTAGCATGTACAGATGGTCATACAGATCTAACATATCACTAACATAATATTATCCTATAACCAGGATACCGATCTACCAGATCACTAACATAGCAACCATCCTATAACCAGGATACAAATCATAAAGGGTCGGCCTTTGTGCCTTAGACCCTGTTGATATAGTGAGAAGAACTCACCTCACAAGTAGCTCGGAATGATAATGTCAAACTCCTCCAAATACAACTCCAACTCCAACACCTACATCCACCAATGATCCACTTCCATAAATTCCCAAATTACTAAAATACCCTCAGAAGTCAAACTAGTTAACCCTTGGTTAAAGTCACAGTCAACGGTCAAGGTCAACTGTAACATCCCGAAATTCAGGTACAACTATTTAGCCCTTCTTTTATTCAAAGTGTCAAGTTAAGCCCTTAAGAGGAATTGGTAGCAAATGAGTACGCTGGGCGTACTCAAGAGTACGCTGCGCGTACTCATGCGCTTATTTTGGACGCGGACTCGCCTGAGTACGCTGGGCGTACTCAGGGTTACGCTGGGCGTAATGTGTCCAGGTGCAAACCCTAATTTCAGACTTGTGCCCTATATTGGATGCTAAGGCTCATTTCTCAGCCTCCCTAGCAGTGAGTAAAACCCTAAGAGAGAACTTCCCATCGTCCTTAGTGAGTATGTGTGATTTTGGAGCTAAAAGTGCCTTGGGGTGTTAGTGAAGAAGAAGGAGAGGAGCTTGTGGAGGCTAGAGCTTGAAGTGCAAGTTTGGATCTGAGATCTACAGAGGAAGGAGCTGCTTTTAGAGGTATAAAGTTCAAAGCTTTCCTCTTCTTTTCGTTTGTTGTTGCATGGGCCATTTCTAGGGTTAAAAGTCCCAAAGGTGGAGACTTTATGAGTGTAAGGTGCTCCATGGTCCAAGATCTGTCCCCTTTCAGTGATATTTATGTTTTAGATCCATAAAGTTTCTATCTTGGTCGTTGATATGAGGACATGCTAGAGTTTTGAGCTTTCTAGGGCTAGAAGTGGTATATTTTGGGTGTTAGTGACTTGTTCAGCCATGCAAAGGCTTAAAGTTATCGACTTTATGGATTAAGAGGCTTAGAAACGGTCAGATCTAAAAGTTGGACGAGAGTCTTAACTGATTAAGACCTCAAGAGCTAAGGGACTGAAACTGAGAGTTACGCGGGGCGTAATCTCAGTACGCGCAGCGTAAGGGGTCGTGCACCCCGTTTCTGTGAGGACGCCGGGTACGCCCAGCGTACGTGTTTGGTACGCGCAGCGTAACCCGGAGGGTTGACTTTTGTTGACTTTTAGGGTTTGGTCAACTTTAGGGCCTTTGAGCCATGGGAGGGGTAAAATGGTCTTTTACCCTTCTGAGAGTACTAAGAGGAGGAATAGTCTAGCCTTGAGAGATGTATTGATTGAGAGTATTTATTTTACATGATTAGGCGGAGGCTAGACCTGAATTTACAGAGTTCGAGCTTTACCGAGTTACCCGAGGTGAGTCTTCTCACTATACTTTACCTAGAGTGGTAACAGAGTTATGTGACAGAGTTATTGTATGCTATCCATGTGATTTGTGGCACGGCATTATTTCTATGTGATTTATGCTGTGTGTATACCAGAGTTAGGACCGGAAGGTCCAAAGAGCTAGGACCAGAGGGTCCACAGAGTTAGGGCCCAAGGGCCCACAGAGTTATAGCCTCGAGTGGCTAATGTGTGTTATGTTTTATAGTTATGTGTCAGTGTATTTGTATGCTATTTATGTGTTGAGATTTATTGTGATATGTGATATGCATGATCCAGAGTTATCAGAGTTAGGACCTTTGGGTCCATAGAGTTAGGGCTACAGAGCCCACAGAGAGTTGGGACTGGAGGGTCCCACTGAGACACACTGACCAGAGGGTCAGCAGAGTCATAGCCTCGAGTGGCTAATATGTGTTAGAGTGGTATTTTGGGGAACTCACTAAGCTTTATGCTTACGGTGTTATGTGTTATGTGTTTCAGGTACCAGTGGTGATCGCGGGAAGGCGCCGGCATGATCTGTACACACACCCGCAGAGTTTATTATGATTTGATCTTGGGATTTGTAGTGAGATAAAATTGATACATTGTTTTTGAAAGCAATTGTGGATGAATTTATATGGTTTTAAAAAGTGAAAAATTGTTTTGAAAATTTGGGTGTTACATCAACAGTACATGTTGACCCAACTTGTCGAGTGCAACTCACTGACTCGTCGAGTTCTTCCAGAACTCGAGAAATCGTGAAAACCCTCGTTGACACGCCAAGTTTCCAGGCAAATCGTCGAGTCCATGCGATGTCCAAATGTCGGGAAAAACCCTAACTAACTCGTCGAGTCTTCTTACTGACTCGTCGAGTTCATGCAAAACCAATACAGACAATCTTCACTCGACTCATCGAGTCCCTTCTGTCTATTTCTCATCCGGACGTTTTTAAGCTACCCCAAAGCTCCATATTGCAGATCTAACCTCCTAGGGCATGGTTTCCATGTAAAGTTGCAAACTTTACGTACATGCATGGTCCTAAATGCCAAAACCAAGCTAAGGGAAAGGCTTAACCTAAATAGAAGGGCCAATGCTTGCTAAATCTGATAACTTTATGACTATAGGGACCAAGAGGAGTCCATATCTGAACTTACAACTTTAGATCATGTCCAATACCCGAAATAACCCACAACCAACTATAAATGGCCCTAATCCGTTGCATGAAGAGATCTAGCTAAAGATAAGTCAAGGTAACAACTTGTTACCTTCAAGATGATGCCAAGATGAAGTAGAGTCAGATCCACAAGTTCCTCTTTGCTCCAAGCTCCTTAGACTTCAAGCCTTCTTCACAAAATGCACCAAAAGCACTCTTTAAATCTCACAAACACTCAAGAACAAGGTCTAGACTGATTAGGGTTTCTACTGGCCGGCAAGAGGTGGTAAGGGGCTAGAGGAAAGGACTTAAGGTCCTTTAAATATGGTGCAAACCCTAAAAATTAGGGTTTCCAAGTACAGGTTCTACTCGTCGAGTCGAGGTCCTCCGACTCGTCGAGTAGGAATCATAAATCACGCGGCCTGACTAATCTCTACACGACGAGTTGGGGCCTCCAACTCGTCGAGTAGGCTTCCTTAATTGGGTTTTATTGCTTCCTAATTTATTGCGATTTGGTTGATAATTTATTGGATGCATGTTTACAAGAGAGCAACACCCTGGGATAGAGGAGAAAGAGGAGAGAGGAAAATGGTAGGACCGCAGGAGGGCTCAGACCATCCGGTATACTAGCCACGAAGCTCCTCGTGGTCTAGCTGGTCATGAACCACAAATATGAACACCATCTCGGATGTTTAGCGGTGGCTAGTGGTTGAAGTTTTTATGGAGGGCACAAACCACCAAAACCAATTATTTTATTTCTCTCTCTATCTCTATCTATCTCTCTCTATATTTTAAGTAATTAAAAAGATATATATTATTTAAATAATCAAAAAATAAGAGGGGTATAGTGGTGGGTATACCAACCTTTTAGTGGTTGTGTGTGGTGATAATATGACACCCACCATATTAGTGGTTAGTGGTGGGTACTTCGAATAACCTTAATAAATTAAAAAAATAAATAAATATTCATCTATTTTTTGTTGCTACCTATTTTTCCACTGATATAAAACAATGACATGTAGACACTATTAATTTTTTCTTTTGATTTTGACACTTATCTTAATCTAGTAAGTAAGAAGATTTATAGGAAAAAAAAAATAGAAGAATATTTGATTTCTTAGTTAAAAAAAACATGGGGTAATTTTTGTAACTTACTCTCAACAGAATTAACATATCATATATTATCAAAGATAGAAAATTAATTGAGTTCTAAAAAGAAATATACGATTGCCAAATTTGATTCAATCATTAATTGCATTTATTCTCTTTTGTAATCTATATATACACTCAGTTACTCCCATTCATCTTTTACAAGACTGGAGAAAAAATGAATCAAATGAAATTCTTCATTCTTCTTATTCTTCTTACAATCACATCAGCATGGGCAACTAAAGAGGCAACTAAAGGTAACCAAATGTATAAAATAGTAGTTTTTATATTAAATTTTAAAATTACTATAAATAACTATTGTCATTAACTAAATGTGTAAATGGTTTGATTTAGTTATCCACGTTAGTTTTAAATCATATTAATAGAGGTTATTGGTTTTGTTTTCATCATTAACGATTATATTAGATATTTGACTGAATTTATATATCAACTTATAAACTTAACATGTTCAAAATAAAGTTTTAATTTTTACAAAGTTTTCATGGCAGGTTCGGAGACGAAATGGGATGATAGAAAACATTGTATTAATCCATTTTGGTACAGTATTTGTAGAATAGGAATGGCCGATGGATTCTGCACATATGTTTGCAAACTTCGTGGTTGGACCAATGGTCAATGCCGACATCGTCGTGGTCAAACCGGTATTACTGGTTATGTTGTTGTTGGACCCCTTAAATTCAAATCCCAAACCAATCGAATTATGTTTTTTATTCCATGTTGATTTCCTCTTTTTGTAATAGTGAATGAATAAAAAGGTTACACTCGGAATTCAAGAGTATTGATTTGAGATGTTTAATATAACTATGAACTCTTTTTTTTTTTTTTTACTGGCAAATATATTAAAAAGTTACCACTAGCAAGTAACTAGACGTAACAAAGAGTATAATGACAGAAAATAGAAAATATTTACAAACAATCAAGGGCAGAAGAAAACAAAGACTTCCAATCTAAACTCTCCTTTGATGATCTATGTTTCAACCAAACGAAAACCATAAATTTTACTATATTAACAATAGCCACCGGCAAGGTCTTGACTCCTTTGAATACCAATTCATTACGTGCTCTCCAAATGCACCATAAAGTACCAAAGATGATACTATATAGCACCTTTTGCTTCTTACGATTTTTTCCTTGTTTACACGCGAATGTCACGATCTCCATCACTGACTCGAAACGCTGAATCGCCAGGCCACACCAATTGAGAATCATACTGATCACTTGTTCTGCCATCGGGCAGGAGACGAGTAAGTGATTCGAGCATTCCATATTATTACCACAAGCCAGACAGTTCAGTGAATTAATATGAACACCCCTTTTGGTTAACTACAGAGCACTCGGGATCTTTCCAAGCCTTGCACGCCACACGAAACACAACACCTTGAACAGAATCAATTTTGACCATGAGAACACACCATCACAAACAAAGTGGGGGTGTGCTCAATCTTTTTCCGCAGTTCAGCCACCACAAAGGATTTTTTATCTACAAAATCGGACTCCTAGCAAGTATTTAATATGTTCCATCTGATGATCTACGAAGGAGTTATACTTAGTTTTTCCAACTCTTGGATGCTTTTTGAGATATTCCACCATACACCATTTAATGCCCTATTCGATATTCTTTCTGGACAATTTTGATTTAACTTGTGGAACCCGCTAATCACCTGGGCCCATAGTAAATTTTGGTCTGTCTTTAGTCGCCAAATCCATTTTGCCATCAGAGATAAGTTCAAGGCTCTAATAGAGCCTAAACCTAGTCCACCAACATCTCTTGGGGCAAGGATTTTTTCCCAATGAATCCAGTGAATACTTCTATTATTTTGAGAACCTTGCCATATGAAGCACCTCCTTATTATATCGATTTCTTCCACAACCCCGATTGGAGCCAAGAATATTGAGAGAAACAAATTTGGGAGATTGCCGAGCACCGATTTTGCCAATGTTATACGCCCACCAAAGCTTAAAATCTTAGCTTTCCACAGGGAAATTTAGATTTTATTTTGTCGATTATCGGTTTCCATGATCTCTTGAGGTTCATATTGGCTCCCACAGGAACCCCAAGATATGTGAATGGTAAGGAAGCCGACTCACTTTTCCAAGGGGGAGGGCCCAACTTTCAACCTCATTGTATTTGCACCCACACCAAATACCCGAGATTTTTCAAAATTTACTTTGAGGCCAAATGCCACATGGAAGCATCTAAGGATTCTAGCAAGGTTTGTTATGTTTCTCATTGACCATTCACCCAGAAACAAAGCATCATCCGCGTAGAATAAATGAGAGACAACCCTATTTGTGTTAGGAATAGTTATACATTCGAATATTCCTTTTGATGTCGCCTCCTTCATTGCAATGTTGAGCCCCTCCATTGCAATATTAAACAAGTATGGAGATAGTGGGTCACCTTGTCTCAATCCTTTAGACATAGAAACTATGTAGTGTGACTGACATTGACAATGACTGAGGCTCTTGCGGATTCCAAACAACCTCTAATCCATCCCCTCCATTTTTTCCCAAACATCATTTGTTCCATAATCGAGTCAAGATAGTCCCAATTGACTGAGTCAAAAGCTTTATTGAAATCCACCTTGAATAACAACATTTGTTTACCTCTTTTCTTCACCCAAGTGCATAGCTCGTTTACGATTAACGGGCCTTCAAGAATTTTTCTCCCTTCGATAAAGGCGGATTGCTCCTCCCCAATGCAACTACCAATAACACTTTTAATTCGGGTTGCAAGGATTCTCGCAACGATTTTATACATCGATCCGATTAGGCTAATTGGACTATCATCGGAAAGGCTTAATGGGTCTTTGACCTTTGCAGCAAGCGAAATAAACGAGGAGTTGATTCCTCTTGAGAACTTACCACACCTTTCAAAATGTTTTACAAATGCAAAAATATCTTCTTTTAGCACCGGCCAATATTTTTTCAAGAACTTGAAAGTAAAACCGTCAGCCCCGGGGGCCCGATCATCCCCACAAGCCCATATTGCCGAATTGAAAGCAATTTTAATATTAAAGAAGCAATTTTAATATTAAAGTTGTTAATTTTGATATGAGATAATTTATGATCTTTTTCTGATGAGGTGATATTAAGAGAGAAGTTTAATTTAACCATATTAGGTTATTAAGTAGGTCTAGAAAATGAAATACAATTAAAACAATATACTATTTTACAAAATAAATATAATTTGAAGATTTTTTTCGGATATATAAAGAGAAAATTTATCAAATAACCAGAAGGAGTGGAGTGTTTGAAACAAATGACCAAGAAAAACACAATTTTATAAAATGATAACGACTTCCGCGCAGGGTGCATCGTTCCACAGAGATGCCATCATGCTCGATTTAAGTTGTGTTGAGATGAATTCGACATGAACATTATTATTATTTTTCAAAATTTTAAACTTAAAATTTAGTTTTTATATTTTATTTCAATTATTCTTAACACACAAATATTTGAGAGACCGCCACACTCTCCATCATTCTTAAAACATTAAACACTATCAAAATCGGTATCTGTTTTTACCTTCTGTGAATATGTGTGGAGCCTAAGATTGTCTCTCCAAAAGAGCCTTTATGGAGAGAAGGGAGACTCCAACATATATATCCACTTATAAAACCGTGTCACACCGATGTTGGATACACTAAAACTCCCCTTCAGAGTCGAATGCTCAATGAATATAAATAGGGATGTGCTGAACAACGGGGATGCAGGACGTCGACTCTGATACCATGTAAATATGTGTAGAGTGCATGATTGTCTCTCTAAAAGAGTCATTGTGAAGAGAAGTGAGACTCCAACATATATAGCCATTTATAAGACCGTGTCACACCGATTTGGTATACACTAACACTTTCATATTACCATTTTGATTTGTAAAAGTTTATGATGCAATGCGGCTAAATAATCCCTATTAGACTCAAGGTGTGGTTTTACTATTTTCTTTTTCTTTGTTAACTTATTCTCGTGTCACTCTTCTTCATTCTTACCACAATCTAAATTCACCTAGAAAATTTTCAAACTTTATTGTGTCTCACTTTTTAAATTTTTAATAGGTATAACAAATTTGACTTTATATATATATATATATATATATATATATATATATATATAATATATATATATATATATAGAGAGAGAGAGAGAGAGAGAATCAATATCAAATAAAAAAGAAAATTTTGGTAGAAAGGTAAGAAGTTTTTTTTCTATATATTTTTTTAGCGAACAAACAAAATGAATCATTAGATGATTCACAAGAAAAAATTCCCAAAAAAACATCTTCATGATTCATTTTTAAGTAAATTAAGAAAAAAATTCTTTTTTATGACAATTTTAGTAAATAACAACAAAATCCTTGTATAAATGAATAATCGAGATGTTATTTTGAGATTTTTTTTTGTGAATTATGTTATTCTTGATTCATCTAATGATTCATTTGTTTTGTTCGTCAAAAAAATATGTAGAAAAAAAAATTTCTTACCTTTCTACCAAAAAAAATTTCTTATCGGATCTATATATATATATATATATATATATATATATATATATATATATATATATATATATATGGAAAATAGTAGATAAATATGGAAAATAGTATTTTAAGACAATAATGTAACATGATTGAATCGTTAATAATGGATATTAACAGAAGCAGACAATCAATGGTTGATCTCATATGTGTCTAGTTTTTTTTTTCTTAGTATACTTGTGGTGTCGTTAATAATCTATCAACTATCCTTATTTAACTATAAAATGCACCCTTCAAGGAGTCTGGATACAATATAAGTCTCACCTTATAAATAGCATAGAGCTATGTTGCACACGTCAGGATATACAAACCCTAATACTCTCTGCTTTTATTCCTAGCCATTCTCTTTCACGAATTGCCGACTTTACCATTGGAGTATATACTTGGATTTCAGCCCGAGATATGACCAATCGATTGTTTCAGATAAAATCAGCGTAAGATCTAAGATCCGTCCTAGTCAGAGATTGTTCCAAGGATTGAGGTACTCATTAATAAATTTTTTTAAAATTCATAGATTCTATTTTATTATTATTATTATTGAATGTTATAAATTAGTTAAAATTAATAAATTTGGATTTTGATGGTTAACACATTCTTAAACATTTTCTGATTTTTTTATTTCTACTTGAAACCTTCTTAAACATTTTATCAATATTTTTAGTAAATTGTATATCAAGATCGCCATCCAAAATCAACAAATCATATATTATCAAGATCTTCATTAAACAAAATAAATTGAATTTTTTTAAAATATTTTATTTACAAATAAAATACAACCATTAACTGCATTCATTCTTTTCTTTAATCTATATATACCCTCACAAACTATTTTTGATATCTAAACAAAAATGGAGAAAAAAACAATTGAAATGAAATTCTTCATTCTTCTTCTCGTCCTTGCAGTTGCAGTCACACTTGCATCCGCAACTAACGGTAAGTAATTGTGTTTATTATTTAATAACAGTTTTTGGTTAATCAATATGACCCGATTCGGCTTATCCTTTAAAGAGCACTAATTTTAATTTGTTAATCATGCTTTGTCATTAATAATTACTTTGATTGTTGTCACAAACCCAAAATGCAAACGATTTTTGTTTTGAATCATTGATGATTAAATTAAATATTTTACTAGCTTATATGTTATTTTGTTAAATCTTTTAGCAAAACGATTGAACGTTTTTCTTGTTTAATACATAACACTTTAAAATCATATTTTATTTCTTATATATATATATATATATATATATATATATATATATATATATATATATATATATATATATATATATATATATATATATATATATATATATATATATATATATTTGTGTTACAGGTTTGGTGCCTAATTGGGATGGGAGAAAGTTTTGTTCGACTATGGTTTGCAAAATGGGAATTGGGGATGCATTCTGCACTGAGGATTGCATCCCTCGTGGGTGGACCAATGGTCAATGCGATCATCTTCCTGGTATAACGGGTGATACTGGAAACTGTTGTTGCTGGACTCCTTGAATCCAAACTTTTCTTTTCTTTTCTTTTTTTGGAAGGGAATAAATGAGTAAATTAGTCAAAACTCTTAAATTTTGTTATAGAATTGTTTATCATGTTTTTCGATTACCTAAAAGAAATTATATTTTATTTATTTATTTATCTAGTACCATGTTATCTTAAAGTTGAAATTCGAATTTGAAAGTTGATTCAAGATTCTAATATCTTATGAAACTCCTTTCTTCTTTCAAAAAAGTAAAATAAAATGAATATGCTATAAAGAAGATTTATTTGAAGAAAAAGTTACGTTGAATGTGAATATGTGATTTATAAATATCACCTTATCATTTATGAAAATTACGTGATGAACGAATAGTTCTAAAAGTAAAGGGATTAAGAAAGACTTTTACTGAAAAATAGTTCAAAAAAGAATTACCAAGTTAATTAATTAAGTGATAGCTAACGAAAAGCCGAAAAGTGAAAACATTACTACAATATATACACAACGCTCAAACATCACATTCCCACCATATCCTAAAATGTAGTAGTATTCACAATAAAATTGTTGAAATAACAATTTTCATGTTAAAAGAACCTGTAACACATTAGGCAAGAAAGTCATGTTCATGTATCATGTATGAGCTCTCACTCACTTCTTTCCAGATTTAAGTTCTCGTGCAAGTAAGACCAACCCAATGGTAGCAAACCCCGACAAAACCGTTGATCCATAAAAAATAACAAGTAACGCTCCACGTAATGACTGCATTAATGCATACCACAAAACATTTATCAAATAATATCTTTTTTGTAAATATTGTAATTTCATTTTTAGTACTTCTTCTTCCATCTATATCTATATCTATAATCTATAATCCATTATTTCTTTTTTTATAAAATTTCAACTAATACGTTATTTTATAAATTTTAAAAGTAATAAATTATGGGTTGGAATAAACCGGTTCAAAAAAAATCCAAGTACCTTAGCGATCAACAAAGCATTTTCATTTGCATACTGGAATGAGCTCTCTGGAATACTCTGAATGCCTTGACTCAATTCCCATGAAATAACCCTACATTTTTCGTGTTAAATGATTTCTTGAAAGCAAGCTAGATACCGATTAAATGGTTGAAAATTAATTACCCATAAACAAAGCCAATAGCTGCCCCGATGTAAGCTTTCTCTCGTGTTAATTCAACTTGAAGCTCTCCAAACTGCAAAACATAATGCAATTTTATGTTTTTGTTAGTTTTTTTTTAGTTTTGATATATGATACAGCACCTTGAACATTCGAGTTTCCTCTTTTGACTCTTCGGTTGATTCAGATACAGGGGACAAAGAAAGAAGATTCCCGGCTGAAATCATAGCTTTAGAAATCTACACAAGCATAAAAGAAGTAGAATCTTGATATCTGAACCCCAATTGTCAGAAAGCTCATGTAAGATTGATGGATGTTACCCTTTGTAGTTCACCTTGACCATATTGCCCCATCGATTGAAACCTTCTTCCAGCTGAAACCAATCGTTTGCCTAGTGCTAAAAGCAATATGATATAAAAATGGATTAGAGGGAAGCCATTGTGCTAATGGAGTAATTATATGCGAAGTTTTTGGCTTTACTCTTACCTGATTTGTTGTTGCTGGTTAGAGAGTTGACCAAAAGAGGGAGACTGTTGACTAAAGCTGATGAAGTCGACAAATCGGCTGATTCCCAGGCTCGAGATATGTTTAACAATGTCTTTCCCAGTTCTTGTCCACACTGATGAAATAAATCATTATCATATCGTTTCACTTTCACCACAAAATCTTGGAGCAGTTTTGACTTTGAAGGTCAAATCATTGTATCTCAGAGTACACAAATTTGTGATACTTTTCTATCGACAACCGATTCACAAACATTGCATTACTGATCCACCATTGCTAATGAGTTTGTAACAATGGCAAATCCCAAGCAAATATAGCATAATTCTTGGACGAAATGAAAGGTAAGAAGCTCCTAACCTGCTCAATCACCGGTCCATTCGAGAGATCGAAAGCAGCATCATTGAGCTACACAATTTCCACTCAAATTCATAAGAACAATCAATAAACTGTAAAAATTTTCCAGAATCATGAAACAACAATCGAGAATCTGACTAACGTCTAGACGAAGATCGCGAGGGAGCTGCGATAAGTAATCAGGCGGCAGATTGAAACTATCCTGCAAAATCCAACGTAATGCTCGTCAGAAACACGTAATTCGAAACCGATCAACAAAATCCACATAGAAATTAGGGTTTCGATCAATGTTATTGTATGAAAAGGATATATGATTGGTTGAAGATTACAGCGAGTTCTTGAAGGAGGGATTGTGGGTCAGGTGGGTCGAGGGATTTGGGAGAGTCGGATGATTCTGTCAGGGCGTTCGTTGCAACTGATAAGAAGGGTTTGAAAGTGAGAAAGTGCTTTCTGGGATTGAAATTAGATGGAATTGGATGAGGATTTCGAATAATGAAAGGGGAAGAACGTGGCAGTGGAAGAGGTCGGAGAAGAAGCAGAGAAGAAGCCATTTTGGGGATGTAGTGTTTCTTGGCCACTGAAAATTTGACCGTTTGCTTTTATTTTATGAATATGTCACCTTACTGATTTGTGATATCAAATTATTATTCTAAACTAGAAAGGTTACCCCGCTACACGGGGGCCAGAAGCTTTCAATGTTGTTTCCGAATTGATAAATATGACAGACATAGAAAGTGCAAGGATGAAAAGTCCGGGCTTTGCCCCGGACAAAAAATGTAAAAAGTTTTGACTGCAAGGACCAAAAGTGTGAAAATGACTAAAGAATTAAAGGGGTAGGAATTAGCAACTTTTTAGAAAAGGGATCAAAGTTGTCAAACCGTTAAAGTTTTGTGGCCAAACTTTAAATATTAAAAGGTTCCAAAAAAGTATAAAAATATTGATTGCAAGGACCAAAAATGTCAAAATGGGTAAAGAATAAAGAGCAACAAAAAACATCCAAATTTAGTATTCCTAACTTCCAACAATAATACAGGGACCAATTCTGCCAAAAAAATGGAAAGTTGAATGGAACACAAACAAAAGGACATGAATAAATTAATTAAAGAAGTACAGAGACCGGATATGTAAATCAAGGGGCCAAAGCTGGACAAAGTATGCCAACTTTACTATTCCTTTCTTCTACAACTTTAATATATACTAGAAAGGTTACCCCCGCTACGCGGGGGCCAGAAGCTTTCAATGTTGTTTCCGAATTGATAAATATGACAGACATAGAAAGTGCAAGGATGAAAAGTCCGGGCTTTGCCCCGGACAAAAAATGTAAAAGTTTTGACTGTAAGGACCAGAAGTGTGAAAATGGCTAAAGAATTAAAGGGGTAGGAATTAGCAACTTTTTAGAAAAGGGATCAAAGTTGTCAAACCGTTAAAGTTTTGTGGCCAAACTTTAAATATTAAAAGGTTCCAAAAAAGTGTAAAAATATTGATTGCAAGGACCAAAAGTGTCAAAATGGGTAAAGAATAATGAACAAAGTTGCCAAAAAACATCCAAATTTAGTATTCCTAACTTCCAACAATAATACAGGGACCAATTCTGACAAAAAAATGGGAAGTTGAATGGAACACAAACAAAAGGACATGAATAAATTAATTAAAGAAGTACAGGGACCGGATATGTAAATCAAGGGACCAAACCTAGACAAAGGATGCCAACTTTATTATTCCTTTCTTCCACAACTTTAATATATATATAATAATTATACCATTTAGATCCTGTTTGTTATTTTGTAAAAAACTTCTTCTTGTTATTTATTGCTGGCGGTGCAGTATTTTTTTTTATCTCGCAACTGTTTGTTTTTTAAATGGTTTCAGACTTTTCTGTCCCATATAGCATTAGGCTTGTCTTTTCCCACCTCTTCCTAACTAAACCTAAAAGAAAAAAAAAGAAGAACATAGACATAACATTGAAAAAAAACGTCGCTCATTCAAACAACTCCCATCTCTCATCATTCTTCCTTTCTCATGGAGTCGTTGCAGTCGCAGCTCACAACTCGTCGGTTGTCGGTCGTCGTTCGTCGTCGCTCGCAACTCGCACGTACTCCCTCGTCGTCGCTGCTATGCTCCTGAGTTGTTATTTATGTTTGCTGAAAGCGTCTACTCTTTCTTCCTTCCCCAAGAGAATCGACCTCCTTCCCCTATCGTCGTAGCCTTCTGCAGTCGCAGCCTTGATGGTCGCTGCTTAGCCCCTTGTTCGTCTTTGCTGCTCAGCCTTCCTTAGGCGGCATGAAATTGACCAACATGAATGTTTCTTCTTCTGATTCAGTTCTTGAAACCGACAATTGTTGTTGAAATCAATTGTTCTTTTCAGCAACATTTATATGTTTATGAAATCCGTTGTTGTTATATGTTCTTGAAATCAATTCTTCTTCTTATTTTCTTGCTGAAATCAACAACATCTAATTTTGAACATTTTCGAAGTTTCGTATAATCATGCAGACAAATACTCATTGCGGTCAAGTCCGCGATGTTATTATCCAACTATTTACGGGTTAGATAGATTGTATCTTTAAGTGTTTTTGTGATCATCACAATGTGATTATTAGTCTCATATTCTTCCTCTATTTGTTGGTGTTTCGTTATTTTGTTCAATTCTTTTTATATACAAATATACAACAAAATATTATGAGTATTTCGTTCCTATGACGATACCGATTACCATCGGTGTATGTGTTTAAGATGAAGATTAACGTACGAGAAGACAAACATACAACTTATTATGAATAAATCACAATTATATGTTATATTATACATTGACTACAAAAACATTGATTCTTATAAGTTGCTTTTTCGCCTCCTCATACAACAATAATGATTAATTGGACACTTAAGATGCATCTGAATGCTCTTCTGCACCTTATTGGAATATGTTTAAGTTGTGTGTTTGCCTTCTTAAGATATGTTATCGGAGAAAACCATGATATATTTGGCGAAATCTGAACTTTCACCATCTTCATGACGGATTATATGTAACGAAATATGTTTGAAAACCAAAAAAAAAAAAATCAATTCTCTCTAATGTATGTCCATGATATTACAATTTATATATAGGAGGCAAGGTTTATATGTCCTAACAAAGTAAATACTAAATCGTGAGGATTGCTAACCAATGCAAAATTATATCGCATGTTGTTCATGTTATTATTTAATTTTGCAGTTCTTTTTTATTTTATTTCAAATCTATGCATGGGGTTCATACGATTGAGACTGCCGACTTAGGAGTTCATTTTTTTTTGTCTATTCATAGATATAAATAAGAATAATTTTAGACATGCTTATATTCTATCTTTGGTTTCTCGTCAACAAATATATCATTATGTCCGCCAAAATTATTAAGACGTGTCAAGAAGACACCTTCCAAAGCTAGATTATTGATGAAATTAACCAAAGATTCAACCAATAGCTTCAAGCTTCACACATCAAGAGTTTTTGGAAAGAAAATCATCCACGGAGGGAGTAAGATTTGTTGAATACGTGAATGAGGGAGGAAGGAGGAGAGAATCAACTCAAATATCTTAAAACCATGACAACTTTGACTAGTCCATATAATTACCAATCCTTTACTTATATGGTCTCCTATGAACTAGAAATCTCACCTAACAACACCTAATTTCATTTTAAACCCTCCTAACCATTAATTTAACATTTCTACTTCTTTATTGTCAAATAGTCAAACTCTACTTAATTCTCGTAATTTAAGTAATATCTTATTTGTGTCTGTTTAAATCACCAAATGATTACTTTATGCAGAGTTTTATCTTTCAAAACATTATTATATTAATATTTTTTTTCACTTTGTCTTATTAAAAAAAATTCAACATTTTTAATTTTTTTTAAAAGCCCAAAACTTCTACGTCAAAAAATACATGATGTTACAATGTACTACCATCAACACCCTTTAATCAAGTTTGGGGGTGAGCGCTTAATTATAGTATGTCAAACACATTCAAAGAAACTTACTGCTCAAAAATAAGAAATAGTTCAAAAGGAAGAATGTTGCTAAAAAGAAAAATATTGGTTCCAAAAAAATTACTGTTTTTTTTTTCTTAAATAAAAGAGAAGAAGAAATATAATAAGAAACATCTAACTGAATCAAAATTTTATTTTTAGGGAAAAAAGTAGGAAGATATTTAATTTCTCTTTACAGAAACAGTGAAATAGCCACTTTGGAAATAAAAATTTGAAAATATAATGGTCAGTTTGAAATTTCTAAAATTTAAAATATAGCGTCGACAAAGACACATAAACACCAAGTTTTTAACGGAGGGGTAGTGATTTTAAAATATATTTACCAAATAATAGCAGTTTAAAGATAATTACCAAAAGATGGTGCAAATCGTTTGAATTGATTTTTTAAATCAAAAAGCAAATAAAAATTCAATGACCCACCAATCTTTGACAGTTTGTTTTCTCCTCCGGCAAAAACACAGTGATCTATCCTCTACATGCCCTACTCCGATGAGCGTTATTTCTCTAGCTCTAGTCACCGAATCTCCCATTGAATCCATTAATACTATTATATACCATTAAGTGATTAACCAAACAAAAGTCGGACCCTCACAACTTCTTCACTGCACACCATAAGCACTATTAAACCCCTATCGCAGTCGTCTCTTTTTCCAGTGTAATTCGTAGATAATCAATATTTTGGAATTCCCTCTCGAGCTCTGGATGAATGCCGATGGTGGAGATCCAACCGCTGTCGGAGACTTTGACTCCTCTATCGTCGAGGACTAAGAGTTTTACTTCGATTTGAAGTTTAATAGTTTAGGAAATGCATGAGAACGATATGATTGTGGTCCAACTCCTTCTCTGCAATGCTGGAGAACCCCCAACCACTTATGAAACTTTTTCTCTACGAGCGTAGTGCCGGAGAATCCCTATTGTACAGTCGACTAAACCAAATCCCCGGTTGCACCACCAACAATGAGGTTGGCGATTTGTTTTTCATCTCAACCATGCAGGCTTCCTTTACTGCAGGAGAGTTATCCCTCACAATTCTTAGACATTGAGAAGTCTTTGAAGTTTGATCCGGAAGACCGGTGTATTGAAGATAAGACACCGTATAAAGAAAATATAAGTGATAACATTAAATTGAATGCTTACGTTCAGTAGATCTCAGCCCCACGCGAAAAGAATGGATGAAGAAAAGAAATATTTCAAGGTATCATAACAAAGAAAATAACAGCTGTCTGTTATGCATGCACATCGAAGTGTTTTATGTTTAGCTAGAAGAAGATATTTCCGGCGAAGGTCCGAGAAACCATGAGAGACCAAAATCCGTGTGAGATCTGGCGCGTGACCATGAACACGTGAGGGAAAAAGGGTTAAATATGTTTTTTATTAATCTTTTAATAAACTACAATTACTAGGTAAATATATTATAAAATACCACTAATTATATATATAATTAAATGAGAGGAGCCTTATGAATAGTAAAACAGTGACCTTTGCCTTTTAAAACTTTTGCCACATTAGTTTGGGTTTGTGCGCTTTTGGTCCCTGATTTGAAGTTTGCCTGCTTTTCATCCCTCTTTTATATCCTAGCTTCAATAGATACCCCATGCGTAGCATGGGGATACTTTTCTAGTTGGTAATTACTTTTTACGCTTGCAAGCATCAAGTAAAAAAGTCCATAAACACCATTTGAATTGATTTTTTTAAAGATCATATCATATTAGATACATTCACTCATTCTATAACTTTTAGATGGACATTATTAAAATTATTAGATAGAAACCATTATGATTTTTTTTATTAAATTAAATCAACATACAATTATATAAAGAGGTTCTTAACAAAATTTGTATTCATAAATATCAAAATGTATTGATTTTTTAATCCCTTTAAGTTAACAATTATAAGACTATATAATATGGAATATGAGAAAAAAAGCAGAAGATAAATATTTAATATTATATTTAATTTAAATGATACTATTGACTTTATTTATCTGTTATTTTTTCACTTCTATTAAACTCGACACACATGAGTTTAAGTTCCTACTTTTAAAACTAGTCTATGTTCATTTGTTATACGGTGTCACATACATCTACGAATTGGAACTGCCTCGGAATCAACGACTGACATAGAAACTTCCAATAGTAGTGGCACTTAAAAATAATACTGACATTAATTTTTCACTTTAATAGAAGATTTTTTTTTATTTATTTACATTACGAAGCAGAGACAAAGTAGTGGCCCGGGACACCTCGGGAACCACTTAGGTCCGCCAATGCTCGAAACTATCACTTTTGTAATCCGAACTGTTTTAATCAATTTCAATTCCGACTTTTAGGGAGTGTTTGGTAAAAAAAAACTTATTGTTTATTATTTTATAGCTTATTTATTTATTAACTTATAAAGTAGAGGGAGGTAATATATATATATATATATATATATATATATATATATATATATATATATATATATATAGGTTTAGGTTATTCTATTTTAACTAATTATTGTGTTATTGTATGCATCAATGTAGGCAAGTCATTTTACTTATTTTAAGAAAGTGATTTACCTATATTATTAAATAAAAGAAAAATATAATAATGCCATTTAACTAAAAGAAGGGTAATATTGTACATTTGCATTGCCTTAAAATTAGGAAACCCAAATTTAAAAAAAGAAATTTACAGATTTAAATGGATCTTTGATTATCTTAATTTTTGAATTTTGATTTTTTTAAAATTAAATTAGTTTAAATAATTCTAACATAATTTTTAATCATACCCGACTTTATTCTGACAGAATGACATTCTTTTTATAATGATATTCTATGAAAATGCAAACCATAAACTAATAAAGAGTTTTACTTCTCGCAGAATAGACAAATTTTTAGATACAAGTTAAGCTTTTTCTATCATATCCTTGAAAAAATAAAAAACTTTATATTTTATTCTATAATAATGAAACACTCCCTAATAACAAACAAATATAATATGTAGATTATTCTATTGGAATATACTATTACATATACTCTTATCATTATATTATAGATTAATCTAACAGAATATGACAATGAGTAGTGCATTTTTGTGGAAGATCGGTGACCATTGAGGATTGTTCATGTCTATCCCACACACATTCATTCAACCTTCGGACCATTGATCATCATGTACTTCATTCATTCTATGAGAATAACTGTCATGAAATTAAATTATGTAAGAATAAAACTATGTGAGAATGCTTGTATACAACAAAAATAAAACAAATTTTAGTAATTCTAAGAGAACTCATACTACATGTTAAAATCAAGTAACACAAATAACGAATTCATAAATTATTTTTGTGTTCTTCAAGAATTTGAACATCAAGTTCTCTTTCAGGCATTTCTACAAACACCTGGTGTGCAATATTCCCATAGAATTATTTTTGTGTTCTTCCATATGTTACCTTTGCTACTTGTAGTAAGTTCTGGTCAACTGCTCGGTCATATATCTTCAGTCTAAAAACCTAATAAGAGTTTCTGGTTCACTTCCTAGAGCATAATTTCAAGCTTCTATTCTTCCCAACTATGTTTAGACCATTCAAAGACTCAAACAACATCTTACAAAATGGAAAAAGATCATAAATCGGTAAGTAAATCATATATAAAATGTTAGGGGTTTGATTTATAAAACGAAGAAATAAAGAAAGGGGAAGAAAAATCAAACATGTTATCTTCCCCCCATTGATTTTCTATCCAAAACGCTACCATTAACATCAACTATCATCGCATCGACAATATTATCCACTGTAAGTCCGTATTTCCGCATCAAAACTCCATATCCACCTCCGCTTATATGTCCGCCGATTCCTACAGTTGTGCAAACTCCGGCGGGGAAGGCCACCACTTCGGAGACGTAAGAGAGTCCTTCAAAATCATGGCCACCACTTCGGATTCTGAGGTTTATCGATAGGTTTTTGGAGCAAAAGATTGTGTGGGTTGTAGAGTATTGATGAGACGTGATCAGATGAGTTTCTGTGGGACATACATTTGAGTGGGATATGAGAGGGAAAAGGTTGAGTTTTAATTAAAACTGATATTCCTAAATTAAAGGGATATTAATTGATTTATATATTTACCATAATTAATTAAATGTAAGATTACATATTTACCCTTTTGAAATGATTGACCTACATTGATGCATACAATAACACAATAAATACTTTAAACACCTGAACCTATCTCTCTCTCTCTCTCTCTCTCTATATATATATATATATATATATATATATATATATATATATATATATATATATATAGTTTATTAGCGATTCACCACCATTAAAAGCTATTTTTATGAGGAAAAAAAAACTATTTTGGATTATAACCTCTAATCTACTCTAATAAATGAAAATCATTTTGCCACATGTCACACTCTCATTGATTTGACCACATGTCATTTTGTGGTTATTTTCAATTAAATTTTTTCCGCATGGCATTTTGTGATTTTTCTATTTTATTAAATTTTATATAATATTTAAATGTATTAATTGTAATAAATCTACTTTAATAAATGAAAATCATTTTGCCACATGTCACACTCTCATTGATTTGACCATATATCATTTTGTGGTTATTTTCAATTAAATTTTTTCCACATGACATTTTGTGATTTTTCTATTTTATTAAATTCTATATAATATTTAAATGTATTAATTGTAATAAATATAATAATAAATGCATATCAATATCATTAATTGATATTTCTTCTAATTTAAAAATTTAAAAATTAAAATCTCATTAGTTTCCTATGTTTATTTATCTAAATTGTTAGTTTAAATTTTAAAAAAGAAAAAAAACATTTTAATTTTAATAATTCAATATTTTTCTATTTTTTCTTATAAATTTAAATTTCTCAAAATATAAGAATATCATATTAAAATTTTCTTTTAAATGAACTCATGTAATACATGGGTTTTACACATAGTAAACTAATAAACTCCTTCCCCAAACATCCGATTAAAATACAACTATGTTTTTTTTAGAAAAAAAAAATATTTTTATTTATATATTTGTCCGAATATATTTTTAATAATTAAAATTTGGTGTAACAGTAGTCTTAAAATTACGCCGACATTCTAACCTCAGTCCCTCAGGCACTCACAGTTCAATCGATTCGCCGGTCATCGCCGGTGTTCTGCCACCGGTTATCCCTCTTCCAAGACTCCAACTGTCCAAGTTCCAAGCGATTATAAATTTATAGGAGGAAGTAAAGGTAAGTTGTTCAATCTGCATCTTTAATGTCGATTTTCCAAGTTTACTGTTCCACTGACTGAGGGTAGTATTACAACCGTCGTCGTCCCTGCAAGCTGGTCTACCTTGTACATTTGACGATGACATCCAATGGAAATTGCAAGTACTCATGCGCTACTGCTACTGAAACCCTAGAATGGATTCGCGCCAGTATTGATTTTATAAACCCGTATAGCTTTTTCTGGGAATCTCATGTCGTCAATTTCCTCACGGTAATAACTACACGCAATTAAACAACAAATCCTATGGAACTTTATGACATGTTGTTCGATTAATATAAAAGCTTGATGTTCAAATTTCTAAACGCCATTCCCCTAAACCTTGAATAATCATTTTATAACTGAATAACAGCATGAACTATGGAAAGCTGTTGATAAAGAATGGATTGATTGCTTGAGGAAAGAACCCGTTGAGTATCTTGTTCAAATTCCTTCTGGCTTTGTGCAGGTACATTTAAATTGTGTAGTTATATGTTACTAGAAGGATATTAACACTCACACACAATACACACATAGACAGAACAGTGTTATATAGCCTCTGATATGCCTTTTACGTTTTACGGGTCAGGTAAGAGGTTGGGTCAGACTGTTTGATACCACAATTAGAAGCCTCAGTCTTATAGCCTTTACTATGCCGATATGCCTTTTACCGAGTCAAATAAGAGGTTGGGTCTGAGGCCTTGACAATCAGATATGAGTTAATCAACAATTATCAAACAATTGAATCGGAACTGATTGTGTCAAGGCCTGATTGAGTCAGACCCAACCTACTTCTTATCTGACCCAGTAAGAGACATATTAGAGGCTATAGAACCGAATCAGATGCTTCTAATTGTGGTATCAAACAGTCTAAGTCTGGCCGAGTCATACCAGTCTCTTACCAAACCCAGTAAAAGGCATATCAAACAACCCCTTACCTTAGAACAAAAGCACTAACTAATTGTGTTTTGTTTAAGCTGAATTAAGATTTCAAAAGTCTAGCTCCAGTATTGGCACTTATGTGCTCCTTTTCGACATATGATACCAGGATCACTGGCCTTCATCATTAAAAAAGTTCATCACTACCTCAAGCTCTCTTGCATTTCCTCGTGAACAGGCAGATTTGGAAAAGGTATTTTAGTATTATAATAATATAATTCCTTTTTTTTTAATGATACTGTTGAAAAGTGGGAATATGAGGAAGTAATATTTTTCTGGCAGGTACTACCAAATATGCAGGTGGCTTTGCTAAATGCTGTTATAACCCAAGGCATGAATCCGAAGAAAAAACATGAAGTAAGTAATAAATAGTAAATACATATCCTTTTTTTATATATATTTTAGTGTTATGGAGGATTAATATTCTTTGTGTATATATAAACACAGATAGAGGCTCTTGCGGGTGTTGTTAGTTCAGTAGCACGAGATGTTGAAACTAATACAGTAATTGATGTAGGTGCAGGCCAGGTGAATGTGAATCCCATTTTTTCATCTTGGAACAGAAACTAACATTTTATATGCTCTATTATGTAGATATCCGATGTTTGTCTGACTTTGACTTTGACTTTTTAGGGTTATCTTGCACAAGTACTCTCCTTTGAGTACCAGCTGTCTGTAATTGCAGTCGACTCCTCTTCTCATCATGGAACAATCACTCATACACGCGCACAACGCATTAAGAAACATTATGATGCCAGAAAGCACAAATCTAGGTATTTAATTTTAATAATATATATTTAGTTGTTGTAATGTAATGATGTGAAATTTGGGCATTTTACAACTTGTGTAAGTTTAGTAGGAAAATGCCCAAGACAGTGACATGTTGTGTCCTCTCTTCAGACATGCTGAAAGGTTTGCTTGCTGAACAAGATACACACATTGACATGTGTTGTTCTTCAGTGCTTCTCACCGGTCTTCACGCTTGTGGGGATCTCTCTGTAACAATGCTGAGGTAAGCAAGCAGTCAGTCAGACATTTTCCACATATCACTTTTAATTTTCTAGTTATGTTTGTTCTTTTAAAGGACATTTTTGGAGTGCGAACAAGTGAAAGCAGTAGTTAGCATTGGATGCTGTTATAACTTGCTATCAGAGGAAGAGGAAGAAACGAAAGATGATGATGGTATGTGTGGTTTTGGTTTTCCTCTCAGTAGAGGTGTTAAATCAAGTGGCTTACATCTCAGGAGAAATGCACGTGATCTTGCTTGTCAGGTATATATATCTAAAAATGAACTTTATCCCATTTGATAAAAAAAAATTGTTTTGGATTTATGGAATTGTTTGATACTACTAACGTAGAGTGCGGATAGATGGAGAGGTCTAGGGAAAGATGAGAGTCTCCATAATTTTGAGATGCATGCTTTCCGTGCTGCCTTCCAGATGGTATATACTATAAACTTACTTTTATATATATATATATATACACACACATCAGTTGTATCTATATATACATAGTGATGTGTGTGTGTGTATATATAATTACAGGTGCTTTCAAAATATTTTCCAGAGACTTTGACAACAAGTCCTACAATAGGGCGACAAGGAAAGGCTTTTCGCCGAATCATTACCAACAATGTTGAAGACAGATGTTCACTTTTTGAAAAATTCAGCCAGTCTGCAATGCATCGTCTCAATCTAAACAACAACAAGAATATTGATTTTGCTGGGATTTGGAAGAAAGCTGAACCGTTTTATGTAGGGTTTTTTTTTTTTTTTTTTTCTTTCTTTCTTAATTTTTTATTTCTTGTATCTATCTATCTGTCTATCTATCTATGATGTATGTGTTGATGTGGCAGGAGGTGATAGGGGCATATTGGTCACTTCGAGCGGCTCTTGGACCCGTATTGGAAACACTCATCCTTCTCGATCGACTCTTGTTCCTCCAGGAGCAAGGCGTGGAAGCATTCATGCTACCAATTTTTGATCCTACCCTCTCCCCTAGAAATATCGCTCTCATTGCCACCAAGAACAACAAAAGGCTTTAACTCCACTAAGCTTGACTGTGTTTGGTACGCTAGCTGAAAAACTAATTTATCAATCAACTATCTCAAATAGCTTATCAAAGAGCTGCCTTATTAGTTACTATAACTTATTTTTGTGGTCTCATCAAACATTAAATTGCAATAAGCTAAAAAAATAAAAATAAATAAATAACCCTTCACATGACTTCTTATGAAGATCTATAGTCATTTAATTATTTTTTAGCAAATATGATTTAAACTCGCTTGATTAACTCTTATAGGTATTTTAGATTTTATGAGACAAGCTGAAGATAGTTTTAAAGTTTAATGTATATTTTGATTATGTTCCAATTACTCGAGGCTTAGAATTTTTCTTGATTAAGATCAAAAGTCTGTTAGAAAGAATTGTTCGAGAAGGCTCAACTTAACTCAACACTTTAAAATGGAGCTCTACTTTATTTGTATCTCTAAAAAAACATACATACAGCCACAGCCATTGAGGCATATATATATATTTTCTTAAGATTCAAACTCGCACCTGGACAACAAAACAAGTTTAAATCTGAATCGTTCAATTTCAAAATGTGATTTCGTGAATATCTTTATTTTTAGATAAAAACAAAGCTAATCCAAACTTGAAACCAATAATATTTAAATTCATGACGATTGTAGACAAAACTATAAAAATGCTCCTTATGATTTGCAAACTTCTTTAGCTAAGTTTGTAATAGTTCCAACTTTCAAAAATGATTGATATTTAAGGGTTTCATTGTGAATTTGATCGCTAAGTACACTGATTTAGTGGTAGTTGTGTGACTAGTGTATAACATAGATTTATTTTTTTTAAAAAAAGTTAAATATAAAAGTCTAAACATTTTAGAATTTAGAACTTATAAGAAAAAAATAAAAAAAGTATTGATTTATTGAAATTGAAATGCTCGTTCTCTTTTAAATTTAAACAGATAGTTTAGATAAATAAATAAAGGAAATAATTGGATTTCAATTTAGAAATTTTAAAATTAAAAGTCTGCATTAGTGAATATGTTATCCATTTATTGGTATATTTTATAATTATTACATTGAAATTTAATAAAATGGAAAAAACCATAAAATGACATGTGAATATAATTTAATTTAAATGACCATAAAATGACATGTAGCAAAATGAATAGGAAAATGACATGTGGCAAATGATTTTTATTTATTAGAGTAAGACGTTAAGTCTATTAAATTGTCATTTTAATCTTATTAGATTTTTTTTTCGATTTTTATTTTTTATAACTATTATTAAACTTATGTGTATTTTACTCTCCCGTTCGTTAACCTACCACCTCACCCCACTTGACGCTAGGTCGCATTTCTTCCGACCATTCTTCCCTTCCGACGACATTCATCTCTCTAGTCAGATATTAAGATTCTGATCAATTTACGTGCATCCATATTTCGAACAAGAAAAACATACCATCAATACAATCCCCGCCACCAAAATCACTACCACCACCATTTTAACCATTTTTGTGTTTTCCTTCTAGAAGATAAAACTTTTCCTCAGAACCTGATTCAAATAAGTGTCGAATTTTGCTACAACATAAGCAATATAATTGAACCACCTCATATACATTTTAATTTCACAAAACCAAGCAAAAACTATAGAATTTCAGCAATTGGCAATGAATTCGATTCAACTATCACTGGAAATAATCCACCAATACACTTAGTTTCATGACAAGGGAGCGATCAAGGAAACACCAACTCTATAAAGTCAAAAATATTGAGACGAAATTAGGGGTTAGATCGAACGATACCTGTGGAGACAATGCTTTGATCATCGACATCAAGGAAAAACATGAATTAGGGGAACACTCTAATATTAACCATATAAATAGAAAGAGAAGGAAGGAAAAAAGTAAATATGTAAATAGATGAGGGAGAGACTTGTGTGTGAGTTATGCGTTATGAGAAGGGCCTACATCAGCTGAGAATTAATGACCACAGAGGGAAAAAGAATTGGTTGCAGAGAAGTGGAGATCAGCAGTCTCCGACGTTGAGTTTTTTTTTCTTCCTCCCGTTCAATGTTTACGATGAAGGTGGAGTGAGAGATATTTTGCCTTCTTTCAGAAGCGATGGTGACTTCATTCATGGGATATGATGGTGGTGGAGGTAGTTTGGTGGACGATTTATATATTTTGAAACACATCCAAGGGTATTGGGATATGAGAGAGGGGGGGGGGGGAAGATGGAGAGTACAATGACGTGGTATTCCTCTCGGGGATGTATGGGTGGTGTGTCTACCAGTGGGTTGGCATGAGGGTTGACATGGAGAATGGTGGTGAATAAGGCTACACCGTCAAAGAAGGTAGACGTAGATGATGGGTGGGTCGCCAGAGAAGAAGAATATGCGGGTGGTGGAGATGGAGTGTAGTGGTGGTAAAGACGTTGTCCAATAACCTTAAGGAGAAATAATGTGGTTTTAATCTAAGGGATGGGGGTGAGATGGGGTTTAGGGTAAAATGTTTTCTTTTAATGTGTATAAAATATTAATAAGAGACAAATAATTGTAATAATAATAATAATTATAATAATAATAATAATAATAATAATAGAAAATAAGGGTAAAACTGTAATTTGCTAAGAACTTGATAAATTTTAGTTAATGTTAACTTTAAGGATCAAATCGACAATGAAATCCATATACAAGACATATTTTTGCAAGTTGAAACTATTTTGGACCTTAGCCAAAGAAAATGTGCAAACAACACGGACCATTTTTTACTGTTTTATCATGATTCTATTTTGAAGTGTTTAATTCCTAGTCATTAAACAATAGATCACTTTAATAGTATTTATTGAACATTTTAAGTGATATATTTGTTACCTCTAATATATTTGTTTTACCCCTGTTAAATATTTATAAGATATAGTACATCAATCCCACTTTAATTTCACAAATTGAATCCTAGAGTTGCAAACAAGTTCAACTTTTATATATCAAGCAATCAGAGCTTGTTCGATATAAAGATGAGCTCAAAATATTGCAAGTCGTACTCAAACTTATAAATCCCAATAACATTTTTTCTACATTACAAAATATATACATCGGTTTAAATGTTAATGCTTGCCTAATAATTACATAAAGTACATAGTTACCTAAAACTCGTCCTAGTAGAATAACTTTGTCTCGTTGCTTAAACTTGCCCAATTATATCGATCTATTATATCTATTTGGATATACTCTTTCATCAAATGATGAATGGATAATTGTAGAGCAATGGTCTCATGGAAATAACTTACAAAACAAAAAGTTTGGTAACATATTTATATGATTAAGTTCAATGTAAATAAAAATGAAAGAATTTTAACTTACTCATTTTCCCAAACTCGAATACATAAATGATGGGGAAGATTTTATACCATATGATTAGTGACATAGTAATTAAACACCTATTGTACCAACACGTGAAACAAATGGCGGGGAAGATTATGTACCATATGATGAAAATGTGGGGCTAGATGAAGAGGGAAATAGATTACGAGACAATGGGATTGATGATGACTACGTCTAAATTAAGTTCAACCACTTTTAAGAGACCAAATTCCTCAATTTTCCTTACGTTTTCTTCACCAAGTATGGAGGACTTATGTCTCTATATGGTTCTTGGTGAACTTATTATTATCCTTTATATATGGGTGATCAGTATTGAGGAGTCTTCTTTGACAACAAAACCATGACATCTTCTTACCATTTTAATCCTAAAAGCTTGTAAAAATTTCCCACAACATAGACATGCTAACTTCCCTATTGTTTCCCAACCCGATAACATTCCATGCGTCGAAAAACCAATAATTGTCCACATCAAAGCAACTATTAATTGAAAAGTTTGTCTCAACGAAACATTATAACTTAAGTCACATTCTTCCTATAATTGTTTCGGTTCTACAACAACCGGTTGAAGGAAAACATCTAGTTTTTCTTAGGGTTAGTAGGTCCGAACACAGTTACATTAAAAAACATGTAAGGATCTTTCATACACATATATGGTGGCAAATTATAAGGTGTTATAATAATAGACCAAGATGAATTTTGTTATTATTGGGCTCCATCGGGTTGAAACCCACATATACATAGGCCTAACCTAACATTATGTCTTTCGACTGAAATGAATGATGACTAATATTTATAAGCTTCAAAATTGGATGGATGATACATTACCCAACATCATGACCATGATTCTCAGTGTGTCATCGCATGGAAGCGGATGTTGCTTGTGAAGCATACAACCTTTTTAAACTTGGAGTCAAGGAAAAATAATGCATTCCAGTGAAATTTATATGCGAATGTTTGGACAAACTTTTTGAGTTTTTGAACATCTACGTGTTGCAAAATTTGCACCGATCAAGATCTTTATCTCCCCTCTGATATGTCATACATCTAAACCTACATTTGTCAATCAATTCCACATGTAACTTTGTTTACTAGAAGCAAACTAAGTGAATATTTTCACGCCATATACGAAAATATAAGAGATGTGATTGTGGTATTTCATACGTCTATTTCCTATTTGTATTGCTCATTTTATAATATCTGCATGTATATATTAAAATATATTCATGAAAAAAACCAATGTACGTCATTTAAGAAACACTTAACGGAGCATTATAGATGGTAACTACCTCAAGGACACTAATGAAAGTTTTGAAAACTACAAGGACTTGTCATATCAAAAAATTAAACTAAAAATGCAGATTAGGGAAACCCTAGGGATCAAATTGTAATTGACTCTAATTTATCAAGGGATATCCAATAGGATAATAAGTTGGAATAACGAAAGCATATTCCGGGTCAGATTTGACGTCTTTAAGCCCTAAACATTGATATTTTGTTAGAGGATTGGGTGTGGGCAATAAGGTGCAACATCAAGGTGTGCCATCTCACTTGCCACATAAGCAAATGGTGTTATAACACCAAGTGGGGAAATGGACAACAAGATGCAACACCAACTTTTAGAAAATAAATATTTTTATTTTTGTATTTTTGGCTGTTTATAAAGCAAATTCAAGCATTCGGGCAACAAGATTTTTGGCCGTTTCATCTCGTTTCCGTGGCCACGAGAAGTGAACGACGAGAAGCAACGAGTTGGGGGGGGGGGGTGTTCCCCCCGTTACGACGCCGTCGAGCTGCGCCACGTCACCGGCGTTTCATCTCGTTTGGACCCATA